GCGCGCGCCTAGCGGCGGGGATCCCCAAAGGTTGCGCTTCCACCTACCAAATCCCTCCTGCTTTCTCATCTCGTCCTCCTTCCCGTTGCGGTTTTTGGGGGGTCGTGCCCTGTCGCCGGTGCTCAAGTGGATTGTATCCACCTGACGAGCACCAAGCACAAAGTCTGGATGAGCACATCCCTCTCGTTTCGTGGTCTGGAGTTTCGGCCGACACGCCTGATCCTGGTGGACAAATTTCCCAAAGCTGGACATGTGCCGGGGTCCCGGATTCAGCAGGAGGAGGAGGAGGAGGAAGAGGGGAACGGCGACAGGACGGGGGAAGGGGTTGCGGAGGAAGAGGATAAGGAGGGGGACCAGGTGGAGCCGGAGGAAAATGAGAAGGAGGGGGAGGAGGAGGAGGAAAAGGAGGGAGGCAAAAGAGGCAGGAAAGGGGGTAGAGTGGGGAAATGGGCAGGAGGAGAGGGGGAGGGAGGAGGACAAGTAATCGGGGGGTCCGTTCGTATGCGACAAGACGAATGATCGAGCTCACGTCTCTGGGTGAGGGCTCCTGGTCGCACAGAGTGTCGTCCGGAAGATGGCGCTGGCCGGGACGGAGGAGAGGAGGCGGATGTTGGGCGTCGCGTCATGGGGGGGGGGGGGGGGGCGATAAATGTGGGGCGGGCAGCGAGGGCTGCAGAAAAGGGGCCCTGAGAGGGCCCCTCGAGGGGCCCTTTAGTCACCACTCACCAAACCATCCCAACCCAACCCGAAGGCTCAAATTTACCCTCGATTTCCAGTGGGGGGGGGTCGGGAAACATCGAAAAAACACATGTGGAGCCCTTATCCCCCCCAACCCGAAATTCGGGTCTTCGGGTTGGGTTGGGGTGGTCTGGTAGGTCGTCATTTAGGGCCCAAAAGGAGGCCTTGAGGGTCCGGGAAGTGCACATTTCTCCCTCCCCCATTCCTCGCCCCCCCCCCCCCCCATGAAGCGACGCCCAAGGATGTGGGAGAGCGGGGGCAGGAATCCATAATCGGAAAAGGGAGGGGGAGAGATACGGACGGCCAGGCGGAGGCGGATCGCGTGGGGGAGGGAGCGGGGAGCAGGCAGGATGGAGGGGTTGCAGGAGCAGGGGGAGGGGGAGAGGAGAGGGAGGAGGAGTGAGTGGGGGGACGGGGGAAGGGGGAGAACGGGAGGGAGGAAGGAGGAGGGGAGAGGCAGAAGGAGGAGGGAGGGAAGGAGGAGGAGGAAGGAGGAAGGAGGAGAGGGGAGGAGGAGGGAGGAGGAGGAGGAGGAGGAGGAGGAGGAGGAGGAGGCGGGAAGAATGGCGGGCAGAGGGAGACCCCTTCGCTCCTTGCCTCGCTCCTCCTCATGCACCCTCCTCCCGCGGGGCTCTCCTCTCATTCCGCGCTTCTGTTCTGCTGTACGGGTACAGTCAGTCTTGACCTTTTCCGGCGAATTCGATACGAGTTGTTCCAGGAAGAAAAAGTGTCATCAAGGGAGACGTTGACCCCTGTCGCTCTGCAGAAGTAGGCGGGGTGTCAACTGAAGCGGACAGACGTGCGGCTCTGCTGGCGGAAGCCGGCGGAAGCTTGCTGGAAGGCGGCGAAAGTGCAGATGCGATGTCATCTCTCACCCGAAGTTAGCGCTGGTGTCCTCAGGGTTTCTGGAGCCAGCCAGATCGATGGTCTCGACTGTCCGTGTTGCTTCTTTTCCGATTCAATCCGTCTGGCCGTCCGCTCATCCACCCAGCTGTCCGTCCGTCTGTCGATCCGTCCGTCCCTTGATCAATCAAGCCCATCTTTGCGCGCGCAGCAGGAGAGCCGGTGCGCGCGCCCAGTTTGAGCAGCAGCGGCTGCTTGGAGTGGGCAGTGCGCCCCAGAGTTTGGCATTCGTGAGGGTTTGGGTTGTGCGCGCCCCCTCGCCTTCAGACTGCGCCACGGTCCTGGCGGTGACACGGCCAACACGGACAGCAAGGATGAGCGATTCCTCAAGGTTATCTTTGCGGTCTTCCTTTTCGGCCCGTCCTTGGCCGCCTGTGCTGGCCGCGCCTCGCTCGAAAGGTGTCGACAGGGCCTTCCAAGGCCTTCGCGTCCTCATGGTGCATCCTGATTGGAGAGGCCTGACGGCCGGTGCCGCCGACCCTGATCGAAAGGGCTAGGAGTGGGGGGAGGAAGCGGAGGAGGAGGAGGAGGAGGAGGAGGAGGAGGGGGAGGAGGAGGAGGAGGAGGAGGAGGAGGAGGAGGAGGAGGAGGAGGAGGAGGAGGAGGAGGCCCTCGCAACCTTCTGGCGACTCCTCCTTTTCCGCGCGGGCTGCCTCTCCACCCCCCCCGCGCCCCTCCCCGCCTGCCAGGAGGCCGCGCGCGAGGGCCGTGGCCAGGCCCGCCCTTTTGGGGGGACGCCAAACAGGCGCCGACGCCGAGCCCTTGGCCTCGCTCGGACGTGTGCATTCTTCCGTCGGCGAGGACCATCGAGGAGCATCCTTGATCATTTGGCGGAAAAACCACGCACGAAACCGAACAAAAAACACAGGAAATGGACGTCCGAGCGATGGCCAGAGCCTGGCCGGGAGGGCGAGGAGGACGGGGCGGAGGGGGGAGGCGGAGGAGCCTGGAGTCCGGGCGTTGCAATGTTTTCGCACCGAGCGTTTCCGCCCTGTTTTCGGGGCCCAGGGCCATCACGGGTCGGCCAGGCTCGGTCCATGCCGCGGCGAGAGATGGGGTTCGGGGCTCCCGTCCTGATTCTTCGCGATGCCGCAGTCTGTTCGCAGCGTCGGATCTCTGGGAGTACGAGGGGGGAGCACGTCCCAGGCTCAGGATTGGCTTGCACAGCCACCTGCATACCTGGTCGGTGGGGGTGATGGCGCGCGCCAGCAACCTGGTTCGGAACGGGCTCCGTTGTGTACATCACCACCCACGAAACCACCCCAACCAAACCCGAAGGCCCCAATCTGCCCTCCATTCCCAGTGGGGGGAGCGTCGGGGAACATTGAAAAACACATGTGGAACCCGTACCCCCCCAACCCGAAATGTGGGTTTTCGGGTTAGGTTTTGGGGGGGGCCTGGCGGGTAGTCCGTGCACCTGACCATCCCCAGGCCTCGGTCGTCGCGCTCTTGTCGCAGCGTGGCACTTCAGAAGTCCGGGCCCTCTCCCCTCTGGACCCGCCTCTCGTCCCGCGCCGGCCATTCACGGTCCCAGGGGTCCTGCGAGGGCCCCCAAGGGCCGACGGCGCCCGCAAAGCTCCCGCCGCGACTGCTCCGCGGTGCGAGGAGGTCCAGGTCCTCCCCCCCCCGCCTGGTCGGCGTGTGGTTGGCGTCCTCCTCGCGTGCGCCGCCGCTGTCGACAGCGGCTCGGCAGCTCGGAGCGATGGCCCAGAAGTACCGGGACCGCATCGCCGCGAGCAGCGGCATCAGCTGCAGCAGGCGGCCGCCGCCGGCCCCCGGCTCCCCAGGCGGCTCCTACAGGCAGGGTCTGGCAAGAAGCTGTAAGTCGGGCGTGTCCCTCTACAGGGGGAATCTTCAAAAACAGTCCCAAAAATTAGCCAGGGGACGATGTTTTGACTGTTTCTTTGAGTATCGTTTGAGTATTTTTGAGTATTTTTTGAGTATTTTTTATTTTATTTGGGTATCGTTTGAGTATTTTTGAGTATTTTTTTTTTTCCGCCCAAAATCTCCCTGTAGGGGGCCACGCCCGACGTAAAACAAGCTCCTATCGGCGGCGCGCCCCAGGGGGGGGGAGCAGCAGATGGGGGCGGGCCGTCTCAGGAGGCTCCGAAGGCCGCCGTGCCTTCGGAGAAGACGTCTAAGCTCAGGAGGAAAAGAAACACACAGACACAATTAATCCTGGATTCCCCAGAAAATATGGGAAAATATGGGAAGTGGGCGGGAAGACAGAAACCCAGAAAATATAGGAAAATATGTGGAATATTTTTATTTGTGTGTATTTATTTGTGTGTCCTGGGGCCCCTTCATAAGCCTCCTCCGAAGGCACGGCGGGCTTCTCGGGCGCCCCGTCGCCTTCTTGAGGCGGCTCGCCCCCCCTCGCCGCCCCTCGCCCGTACGACGTGCGATCGCGGTGCTGCTGCAGGTCCTCGCGCAACGCTGTGCCTCCACGCGCTTCCCGCTCGCGTCAGGAAAGGTTTGAACAACGAGCGGTTCGCCCGAGCCGTCCTCGCTCGCCAAATCGGGGCGTTGGCGGTCGTAGCTCTTAGGACGTCTGCTGCTAAAAAATGAGCGGTTCGCCCGAGACATCCTCGGACAATGGGGACGTTGAAGTCGTTGGTCTAATTCGCGGACCTCCAAAAATGGGCGTTTCGCCTGAGACATCCTCGAAAATACGGGATTCGCCAGGAGCTCTTGTGAGGCATCTTCTCGGAGCGATCTCGGATGACCTCCAAGATGGCCCAAGAAGCGAAATTATTGAAAACCCATTGGTGTTTAACACTTTCTGTTAAGAATCAGCGTTTCGCTCGAGAGATCCCCTAACACAAATCCTTCGAACGGGCCTCGAAACCATCTGGTTTCCTCCTCCTCCTCCTCCTGCTCTTCCTCCTCCTCCTCTTCCTCCTTCTCCTTCTCCTCCTCCTCCTCCTTTTGTTATTCCTCCTCATCCTCCTCCTCGTGCTCGTCCTCCTCTTCCACCTGCTCAACCTCCTCGCCTTATTCCTCCTTCTCCTTCCTCCTCCTCCTCCTCCTGCTCCTCCTCCTCCTCCTCATCGTCGGTCTCCTCCCGATCTTCCTCCTCCTTTTTCTCCTCCTCCTCATCCTCCTCCTCCTCCTGTTCCCCCCCCTCCTCATTGTCCCCTTCCTCCTCCTCCCGTTCTTCCTCCTCCTCCTCCTCCTCCTCCCCCTGTTCCCCCTCTTCTTGCTCCTGTTCCTCCTCTTCGTCGTTCTCCCCCTCGACTTCTCAACCTCTTCTTCTGCTGCTGCTGCTGCTCCTTTTCCTCCTCCTCCTCCTCCTCATCCTCATCCTCATCCTCATCCTCCTCCCCTGCACTCCTCCTCCTCCTCGTCCTCCCCCTCTCCCTTTTTCCCCGGTCGTCGTTTTCCATGTCTTCCTCATGCGGAGGAGTGGAGAGGATACTCAGGAATATGGTTGTGAACGTTCTGGGGGCGCGTGTCCATGAATATCCCTTGTGAGCGTTCAGAGAGCTCACCTGCACTATATTTGATCGCGATGATGCTGCAAGTTCTTGCGCAATTCTTCCCTTTCACGCGTTTCCAGCTCATGTCAGGAAAAGTTTGAACGACGAGCGTCTCGCCTGAGACATCCTCGCCAAATCGTGAAGTTGGAGGTCGTAGCTTAAGACGTCGTTTGCTAAAAATGAGCGTTTCGCCTGAGACATCCTCGGAAAATGGGGGTGTTGAAATCGTTGGTCTAATTCGCGGACCTCCAAGTCGACTGAGACATCCTCAAAAAAAATGATGTACCAAGAGCTCTTGTAAGGCATCTTTTCGGAACGATCTCGGATGACCTCTAAGATGGCCCAAGGAGCGAAATGATTGAAGACGCGTTTTCAGAAGAGAGTGGAACACGAAATGAATGCACATGTGAAACAAGTGAACCGAGAGCACAAGGAAGAAGGGATACACGAGCAACGGAATGAGCAGGAATAGTGATAAAAACGAAAATATGTTATCTGACAAACTTGTTGTCTGGCGAACATGTAATCTGGCATATGTGCAAATATGTTCCCGTGATCTGGCAGACGTTCAAATCTGCAATCCGTTATCTGGGAAATCTGGTTTCTGGCGGATTTGATATTTGGTGCATCTTGTCTGGCAAATCTGTCATCTAGCAAAACTGTTATCTGGCAAACGTGCCCATCTGTCATCCGTTATCTGGCAAACGAGTAAATATGTTATCCGTTATCTGGCAAACGTGCAAACCGTGCAAGAAACCTTCAGAGGTCCACGGGACAACGGATTTCCTTTCATTGACCTTAGCTTCGCTGCGGCTTTTGGGCAACGGGTTCTGTTTCACCGCCCCTCGCTTCGCCGTGGGCCCTTGGGGCAACGGATCTCGTTTCAATGCCCATCGCTTCGCTAATCCGCACTGCAGCCATTTCGATGTACCTCCTGAAGTGCATCATGAGAGGCTTTCGATGCGCTCCGGAGGCTCTCCCGAGATGCTATGTAGAGACTCTGAAGAAGCTCCTGAGAGGCTCTTGAGAGGAGACGCTTCGGAGAGGCTCCGAAGGGGTTCCTGAGACACTCCAAAGAGCATCCTGAGAGACTCTGGAGAGCCTCCCCTGAGAAGGGACCCATGTCTGCGTATGAGGTTCCGGAGAGACCCAGGACGGCCGTAGCGGTGGCCTAACCAGTCCCAGAGACCTCCAAGATGAGCCCAAGAGACACCATGACAGACAAAACGACCCCAGCATGGAGTAGGATGTCCCCAAGACGGAAGCCCATGGGACCATTGATTGGACCCTTCTCTGAGGTTTCCGCTGCCCTCTCGGGTCGTCTCGGAAAGCGCCAAGAGAACTCCAGGGCCCCGCGAGGCTCCCACAGGGCTCCAAGAGGGCCAGAGCACCCGCGACAAAATTAAATGTGTTGCGGATGCTCTGGGGGGGGCTTCTTGGGGTCCATTGGAGCCCTCTTGCAGCCCTCTTGGGCCCCTCACGGGGCTCTCCCATAGCCTTGAGAGAGAATGAGACCTTCAACAATTCATTCTCAGCGCACCCGCAACAAACTATTTCTGCGGGTGCTCTGGGGACCTTCTTGGACTCGTCTTGGAGCCGTCTTGGGGGCCCTCCCGGGGCTCTACCAGAACCTGAATGGGGGCCGCGCGAGGGCTTCAAAAAGGCTCCATGAGGAACCCAAGAAGACCCCCTCAAAGTACCCACAACAAATCTGATGTTCTTGCGATCTCTCCATGTGCCTCCTTGAGGTCTTCTTGGAGCCCTCTTGGAGCCCTCGCGGGGCCCTCATAGGGTCTGGGAGAGCCTCGGGAGGGAGAAGAGGTTTACGATGAAGGGAGGAGGAGGAGGAGGAGGAGGAGGAGGAGAAAGAAGAGAAGGAGGAGAAGGAGGATGTACGAGGGAGCAATGAGAAATAGGGAGGGAGGAGGCGCGATGAGGAGAGAGGGGAAAGTGATAATAAAATATCGAAGTATGATAAAAATGCTTCTAAAGGCAACGACGTATAAGGTAAACACGGACACAGGGTATAGAGCACACGGAACGATTAGGAATGATGAGAATGCCAGAACCATGTATCGTGGCACATTTGTTATCTGGCAAATCAGCCATGTGGCAAACATATTATCTGGCACACGTGCAAATATGGTATCCGTGATCTAGACCACGTGAACCTATGTTACCCGTTATCTGACAAACTTGTTGTTTGGCAAGTTTGCGGGCTAAGGGGTTTCCCACCACCTACAAGCAAACGGTTCCCTTGTTTGAGTTGTGGGCGCGTTTTCGTTGGGCCCAGCTAGCGGAAGGTGACAGTATTTTTTGTATAGGCGATAACGATTCGGCGGCTTGCGGGATTAATTCGGGCCCACGCTACCACCATGCT